GAATGATCGTATCGGTACGGGATATCTTATTGTCGAGATTCCGCGGCAAATCATGGCGTAAGAGCGAACACACTGCGCCGTTTTCATTTTATGTTAAGATACCGGTTTTCTTTCGGACAAGCTATCGCGCCCAACCGCCACTGCGGAAGTCGTCTTATCGATGGTCGTAATAATGGGGAGGGGGAAACATGATTAAGAGAAGACGCCTTTCAACGATTAATAACGCCGGCACGGGAGGCAGCGTAGCCAAGTGACAATGATAAGGGTACTAAAGGACCACCACACGACAATCACCCCCAAAAAAACTAAAAAAACAAACAATTCCCAACGATACGCTTTTGCTTCTTGCGAAACACACAGACAACTAGTGCGCATTTTGAATCGGCGAACGCGGCCATCTTGCAAAGGTGCATATATTATCGTCACGTGACAAAGCGTGTGTTTTTGAGTGTGTGTCTGTGTGTGTGTACATGTGTCACCCCTTTCTCGCGAAAAGTGTCGCGTGATCTGCTATACCCCGTTTCACATGGAGCCCGACCGCTTATCCAAACGCTGCAATCCGACGGAGCCGACCGAGCACCGCCGAAAAGTGCACCGTCACGGCGTTTGCTATTTCCGCGGCTCTTCGTTTTTTCTGCACGCGTGTTTGGTTTAGTTGGCGTGTGCGCAGCGCAAGTTCGTCTGCTTCTTTTGCAGGGGGTTGTGGTGACGTCAAAAAGACGTCGAGCTCTGATTGGAGGATAGTAGGGTAGACCTCAAAGAAAGTTGCCCTGAGGTCAGTCAGAGCCAATCGGAGCTGCCCTTAGGTCAGTCAGAGTCAATCGGAGCTGCCCTAAGGTCATTCAGAGCCAATCGGAGCTCGACGTCTCTCTGACGTCCCAACAACCCCCCTGCAAAGGGAGCAGACGAACTTGCGTTCCGCATAGCAAACGCGCGAAGGCGACGAGCGTCGCGACGGTGCCCTTTCATCGCCGCTTGATCGACTCTGTCCGCTCGCGGCGTTGGCTCCGGTAGGGCTCTGTGTGAAACGAAGCGTAGGCAGTCAGGTACAGAGAAATAGTATACATACAGGGGGTTGGCGCGACTCTTTTCGGTTTGCGGCTTCTCGACTCGGTCGAGAACCGCACCGGGCGTGAGCAGCGACGACGACACTCGCGATGCGACGTTGTCGGTGCCTCACCGACGTCCGCCGACAACCAAACACACACGAGGATGACTCGGCATTCGTGGGCATGACGCGTGCCCACACGAACGCAACGGGTCTCGCCCAGTTTCTGCCGTAAGCGGCGCTAAAAGACGGCGTATAGTGTGGTGAGGACTATGGACGAGACGACACGGCGGCGAAAAATGTGTAGGCTCTGCTTTGCGTTTGCGAGAATTTCACGGCTCGTTTCTGCTTCTCTCTTTCGAATGTGAAGAGCTTCGTTCGCTTATAGGCCGCACTTGTGACGCTGGGATCGCTGGAAGAACGAGCAGTGCGCGACGCCCTTTGCCCGAACATGACGTCACCTTCGGCGACGGCATGCTCCGTCGTCCGGTTCGGGTTCGTGGTTGATCCCATCCTTTCAGGTCGATCGCTCGTATGGTCGTTCTTTGAGATGCGTGAGAAGGTATAAAATTGGCGATTGGGTTCGACCTAACTCAATCGCGTCCAGTACTACGCTTTGCGGGTGTGTTCTTAGTTCTTACCCAGTCAGTATGCTGCCCTTCTGGCCCGCGTTGAACTGGGCGACTCGGTAATAGTTTAACGTTATAGGAATAACAGGTAAAAAAATAAAAGCTTAGGATAGTGTAAGGGACACTTGCGTCAGGACAAGAGCTGTACTCGCAACTGATTAATAATCAGTTGCGAGTACAGCTCAACGAAACGAAACGGACCAGTAAAGTGCGTGGATACGGCGACTCTGGCGGTTACCCGACCAACCAAATGGCGGAGTCATAATGTTAACTCGAGACTAGAGTAGCTGTATATGGTGGCTGGCTGTACACGTCAAAGTGACTGTGTACGCTCCTCACGCGAGTTATACGAGGTTACTGAAGCGAGGCCGTACGCTGCGTATTTCGTATCGTTGAGCCCTGCAGCTGTTGTCTTGTCGCAAGTGTTCCTTTCGTTGCCTTCGTTTAGCTGTTATTCCCATATTTATCTTACTTACATTTAAGCAGCATACCTGCAGTCTCGGCTCCTCCGTTCAAATGAGCATCTAATAAATAAATAAATATATTACTATATAAATAATAAATACAACATGCAGCCGCGCCTTAGAATCGCTATCTGTTCAATCGGGGGTCAGGTGTCATGGGCCCTCGAAACTTGTATACAAGTGTAAGTACGACACTCATCGTTTCACGATGAAAATACGAAACGCAGCATGGCATTCCCTAGCCGAGAAACTTTCCATTTTACGGAACGAAGACTGGACGCTCACACATATTTTTACATTGGCCAAGTGGCGGCGATGTAGCCGCACGGTGTGCCGTCGACAACACTCGATCACTAAGAAAAGAGGAGTACATGTTCAACGTCGCACACCCGTGGAGCCGAGAGATTCTCGCAGACACCAGCAGCGCAATCCGTCGTCGGCCACACAGATCCGCCCCAAGTTCCAAGTGGCAAGCGTTTTCACGCCGCTCGCCCGCACTCGGCCGCCAAAGTTCGGTGCCTTGTGCACCGAACCCGCAGGCAACGGAAAGAAGCCAAGGAAAGATAAAACCGAGATGCATAACTGCGCGCGTTCGGCGTAGACCCAATGCGGAACGCGAATTCGTCTGCTTCTTTTGAGGGGGGTTGTGGTGACGTCAGAACGCGGAGCTCTGATTGGCTCTGATTGAAAGGATCGTGGGCATAGACCTCTAAGCCGTCTGCCTCGAGGACTACCCACTATCCTTCCAATCGGAGCCAACCAGAGCTCGGCGTTCTGACGTCACCACAATCCCATGCAAAACAAGCAGACAAACTTGAGCTCCGCAAACCACCTAAAAGAGAAGGCCAGCGTTCTACCTTGCGTCAGCGTCGTCGGCAGCGCGCGTCTCGCTGCGTCACACAACGAGCGCGACGCTAGAACGCGGCGACGCCGAGACGAACGCGTCTGCCGCTTCGCGGCGTCCCTCGTCAAGGTTCGGCGTGTTTGCCGCTTGGGGGCGGGTCGGGGACCCAGTAACGATGACGTCATGCGCGGGGCATCTCTTCTCGGTGGTGTCGGTCGACCGCAACGCAGCACCGCGTCGTGTCAAGGAGAAACACAAACTAAGAAAGCGCTTCGCGCGTGTGCATCTACAGATTAAGGTAGACAGAATAAGATAGAAACACTGAATTTGCACATTGTCGATGCTCTGTTTTCTTTTGTGTGTGTTCAGTTTGGCTAGTTCCTTGGAACAACAGTCGTAAGCCGCGATCTCGCGGAGCTACCGGCGTTCGAGCTCTCCCTCTCCCCAGTTGTTTACGTCGTCAGAGATTACGTTTGAGCTGTGGTGTGCACAGACTTACCGACTGTGAGTCTGCTCCCTCGTTCTGTATGGTAATTTCTTAATTCGAATACCGGCGTAATACTAAGCCACTTGTCGAGGTTAGCTGTCCTAGCGATTGCGCCTTACACTTTACACATCTTGAAGCAAACGTGTTCGGGTCTCACGCATGCTCAATGTTACGTGCACTTTTAGACACTCGTTATAATGCTATAAGAAACATGACACCCCCTTGGAAAGCAAGGGCGACGGAGTGAAAGATTTCTCCTACAAAATGTTCGGTATAAAAAATAAAAAAAAGTACATGATAACATTGCAGTAATCCCACATATATCATTTCGCGTTAACAAATCCTGAACTGCGATTCTGAGTAGTCAACTCCTAAACTAATGTGTAAAGAGTACAGCAGAATGCAGGATTTTCACTAACCGCGTGTTCTAGCGGAGGTTAACTGATTAGAGTCCACAATACGATGTCGATCAAACATGGAGCTTTTCACGCTAAAAACAGGTCGTATTAAACGAGGACGAAGGCATCAAAGAAATGAGAATGAGAATGAAGCTATTCAAGGCTCCAGACACCGCGTCATTACCTTAAAAGTGATTCAACGATGGCCTACGGAGACGCAAATGAGAATGTGTAACGTTTTAGCGAGCATTCAGTTAGAACTTTGATCGTACCCTTGGATATCTTACTACCATGTTAGGCACCATTATTATAAGATGGCGATACGACCGCAACCCTCAATCACAATGGAGTGGAAGACATCGTGTTAATGTGAAGAACGGTGTTCTGAAAGCCTGGCATTAATTACGGACGTAAACAGAAGTGCGGCCGTAAAGATTTGTACTGGCTATTATCCATTATTTACTGTGACAACTGAGGCCGGCATTGCAATATCTCGTGGGTGCTGCATTGCTTGGATGGACTCTGCAACACGCATGAACAGCTCGAACGCCGGCAGCGCCAAGAGAGCGCAGGATATTGTACAGACAGCATACCCGCTATGGCTTGACATGCGAGAGGGTACGAGGTATTTGATCTAGATTAGAGGAAGTGCTTACAGCGCTGAACACGGAAGCTACTGCACAACGAATCCACGACGACTATTAAAAATTGGTTAGTGGCACTAAATGTTCTGGGCACACACGCACAATCGGGCCTCGGGTGAGAGGGGTACGCGGGAGAGGCATCCGCAGCTACATCGCAACAGGCTGGACGCTACTTCATTGACAGGGTCCATCTGCACTCGCTATTTACACATGCGATCGTGAGGACCACGACCAAGAGGCTTTGTTGTTGCAACCGCGGATCCCGCGTTGACGTGACTGGGTGATACCGCTGGCCAGAGTGGAATATCTGGCCACGAAAAAAGGGCCGAACGATGACGACATTCACACAGGCTGCCGGAGCGGATGTAGTGAGGTGCCTGCCGTGGGCCACAGGCCACGACGCTGGGCTCAAAGTGCCGCAGGGGGTGCGAACCCGGTCCTGGACCTTGTGGAAGCTTCGGGGACCGCTGCAGAAGAGGCAGCGGCTCAACTGAAGTAACCGCGGTTCATGGATCGCTGCTTGTTGTGCCATTTGCAAGACAGGATCCGCATGTATGTCCTCCGGAAGTTGGCGTTGCACAGCGCGTAGCAAAGCGGGTTCACCGTACTGTTGATGTAGCACAGGTAGTAGACGAAGTTCCACAATCCCGTCGGGATGCAGTCGTCACACGAGGAGACGGTTTTGATGAGCACGAGAACGTTGTACGGTGTCCAGGTGACGATGAAGGCGAGCAGGATGGCACTGAGGGTTTTGGCTGCCTTTTTCTCTTGCTTCCTCTCCTGCTGCTTCCGCTTCTTCTTGGGTGCCTTCTGCTTTGCCACCTGACGGTGCACCAGCTTGGTATTGAGCGGAATGCGGATCGTGTCGATGCCCGCTTCGGCCGTCCGTAGGGTCGTCGAGTCTTCCGAAGATGTTCTGGCGAAAGTGGTGGTCGTCTCGTTTTTTTCCGCGTCTTCTTCAAGAATCATCTTGATGGACGCCTGCGAGGCTCCGCCTTCCAGGGATGGCTGGGTCGGCAGTCGAATCAGAATCGTATAGACCGAATCCGAAGAGTAGGAGCGAGATGTCGACGGCCTGTCAGAGCGGCGAAGTCCGTTCCTGTCGGTCATGGGGATGCTGACCTGCCGACCTGCCGGGTTCAACTGGACGAGTTGGTCGGCCCTGAAGGTCATTGACGCGGACTGCACGGGCGTCTCGACCGATGCCGGCGTCTGGGTGCCGGGAGATCCTCCATGGCTGGTGCTGTCGTCGTCCTCCTTATCATTGTCGATCCTGCACCAGGATAGGAGGACGTCTTTGAGACGTCGCCTCTTGGGCACCGCGGGCGGGAGATACTTGGAGGTCTCGACGCAGAGAGACGTGGGCACGTAGGTCGTTTCCACGTCGGGCGCGCAGGAGTCACTACGGCCGCGCCGGAAGTCCTCCGACTCGGCGGGGTCATCGCTGGACGTCGACTTCCGGCTGCCGTCTTTCTTGCCCGCCTGGAGCTGCGTCAAGTCCTTCTGTCGTTTTTCGGTCTCCCGCCAGATGCGCCAGTAGAGGATGCACATCACGGTCACCGGCACGTAGAAAGCGGCCAGTGCCGTGCCGAACGTAACGTAGATGTTGGTCTCGAGGAACTGGATGTAGCAACGGTCCACCGGCACGCTCCGCCGGCCCTCGATGTACGGCCAAGAGTAGATCCAGGGGGGCCACAGCACTAGCGAGATGACCCAGGCGCTGGCGATCATAATGGCGGCCCTCTTGGTTGTTCTCCGAGCACGGTACGTGAGCGGCCGTGTCACCGAGAAGTACCGGTCGAAGCTGATGATGAGCAGATTGAGCACGGACGCGTTGCTGGTCAGGTAGTCGAAGGCCAGCCAGGTGTCGCAGATGAACGTTCCCAGCGGCCAGTGGTCGTACAGGGTGTACATGGTGAAAAGTGGCATGGAGATGACTCCGATGGAAAAGTCTGCAATGGCCAGACTTAGCAGGAAGTAGTTGCTGATGGTCTGGAGTTGCTTGTCCAGTTTGAAGGATATCATCACCATGAGGTTGCCGATGATAGTGAGGGTGCTGAGCAACGCCGCTAGTATGGCGATTAGGATGACCTCCGGTAAAGAGTACGGGGACGAAGTGCCTCCGCTTTCCGTCAGAGACGTGTTGGTGATGTTAATAGTGACGTCATCCAGGGGCCCGGCGTCTGTGCTGGCAGCCGAGGCGTTGAAAGCGGCGCCGAGGAGGGCCATGACTTGTGCCTCTGGTCACCTCATGACAGTGGGGCCTGGACAAAGAGTAAAAGAGGTGCATTAGGCGCGTGCGCGGTTTGTCGCCTCTGTATGATATAGAATCGTTTTTAATACGAACATATATAGCTATTGCAAGTCTGATCTGAATCAGAAAGAATCAAGGCTGTGAAAGTGCTGACTATGGCAGTACCCTGACGGTCGCTTATGATAAAAAACATACACTATAACCAAATTTTGATTCTGATATAAAAAAAAATATCGACGCATTTTCCTTAATTTGACTTCTTTGGGGTAATAATTTTTTACCCGAAAGTGGTATTGAGGAGCCTTTGACATACGATATGAAACTTCAATTTATTATTAGTTCAAAAATACGGCTAAAAATATGTGCCAGAAAAAAAAAAGTTCCAGAGAAGTCGATAACGCCGCTCTTCCTACCAGCTGTCACGAAAGAAGTAGGCATGATCTTTGTGTTTTAAGGGTGATAGTGGATTTACTGTTTTTTTCTGCCTCGTTCAGCATTTGCTACTTGAAAATTTTAATATTGTAAAACGAACACAAAAATGCCTAATGGGAACTCGTTATATCGAATCAGATCCCACTCAACTGTGCCGTCCAGATACATTGTCCTGTGTCAGGAAAATGGTGGACTTGGCCAGTTACTTAGAGACAGGCCACTGTTTGTCCATTAATGACCTCGTTCCTGTTACTGTTGAATTTGTTTAATTATACCGGCATAAATTTTGCTCTTGTAAATTTTGCAATTTAAGGTATATATTTCTACGTCTTTTACTGCCAAGATCTGTAAATCTACAAACATACGAATTCGCTCGAAAGGAAATTCAACGAAAACAGGTCATGTTATAAAGCAGCACGTATTGTCCGTCTAAACGTTCAACGTGTACAATTTTGAATGAATGATGGCATATTTTTTCTCACCGCACCCCGTCTGCCTGCGTTTATATGATTTAAAATTATGAGAAATGGCGTATTACTTAACGAATAAAGTAATGTAACCTTTTTTCAATGTGCGATTGATAGCGTCGAATTATTTAGATTGAACTTTGCTGAAGCTGATTGTCGCTTTTCTTATATCATAGACACGAAAACGAATGGAAGATTATTTTATGAGTTAAGGTTCATGCTGCTAAAAATGAACAATGGGAGCAATTGTCCTTTGAGGAAACGCGAAACATTTCACTCTTTCTGCCTTTAAGCGGTACACGATGCGTACCGCTTAAACTTTTCTTTTTATTATATACGTGCATAGAATCTGGTAAACAATGCAACGAAGATTTAGGTGGCCCTCTTTGCGCAGCTACACAATGACTTATACAGAGCCCTTCAACAGCCATCTAATAGACCACCAGGCTGAGTGCACCGCCCCCATACCCCGAGAAAATTTCTTACACAAACCTACGCGCCGAGAAACTAAAACTCCGGACGCCTGCGTCCCGCGTTTTGAAGCGTTCGACGAGCGCGGTCGAGACAAAGTCCTTTAGGCTGCCTTTAAGTGTACCGGCTGATCATTCGAACCAGAGCCTTGCGGTATGCCGCCTCCGCGCGCTCTCGTCTCCGTCTCTCCTTTACTTTCTCGCCGCATAGTATAACCCTCCCCCCCCCCCCCCCCACACACACACACACGCACACACACATAAAGCTTTTAGTACACTTTCAAATTGAAAGTCCTGGATCAAATCGTGAAGCTATTTTTGCAAAATAGAACTAGCAAAACGAAAAAAAAGAACAATTTTATTTAGTTATTATGCGCCGCAAGTTACATGCATGTCCCAAACAGTACGTCCCTTGTACCTTGCCCTAATGGACCTTTTCCACATACCGACGGCACTAGGCGGTGGCTGCACGAACTAAAAATCGAGGAAGTGACCTACCTGCGCTACCAATCGATAATGGGAGCTACGCTACCAGTTGCATCGCGACTTGAAAGAGGGGCATCCGTGGCGTCCACCCAAACGTCGTGTTTTCCTTTCCGTCGATGTTCTTTTTTTGTGTAACACAATTATATATATGCTGCAGTTACGTGTTCTACTCGCTGATATACAGCCTCCTTCCGAATTTCCTCGATTTTTCGTTCCGACTTCCGCCGCTTGGCATCGGGCGCTCGCGCGTGCGCAGAACGCTTCTCGGAAAAGGTCCATTAAGCCTGCATTACGTTCAATCGGAAGATAAAAAAAAATATATATTACTTTAAGCTTTGCGCGATTGAAATAAATCAAACGCAAGGTGCCAAATGAACCAAATGAAGAAACTGACGTCAGGAAAAAAATAGAATGACATAAACGGTGTCGAAAAGTAAATATGCAAACAAAAATTCAAAAAAAAAAAAAAAAAAAAAAAAAAAAACACATTCCGAGGCTGTAGAAGTTTCGCTTCCAGCCAGCCGCTGATATATATATTTTTACTTAATTAATATAAAATATCAAGCAACCAATTGAAGCAGTACCAATTCGAGACAGCAGAGGCCAGACAAAATGGATTCACGAACAAACGACACAGACCCTGACGGAAAAATATGGAACGGAAAGATGTTGGCGCAGCGACGGAAGTAATGCGACCCCAGCGGAATGGCAGCCGGCGAACGCAGGCCGCTATAAAAGTGTAGCTCTCAAGTTTCTGAACAGCGTCCCTGGCGAGCAGCATCGGATATTTTTAGGTCGCGTTTCCACTGTGCGCATCGTTGCGTCCTTTCAAACGCTCTGTTAGTGCTCGTGAACCTTGAGCAGACGCCGAGGGAAGTTCTCAGACGCTAGTTTACCCCCCGTGGAAAGTATACATGATGGGACGCTGGGGCGCCACTTTACGTCAGCGTTCAATGGTCGCGTCTCGCGGACGCTAGCGGAAGCGCCTCGTTTGTGGTCGCGTCTCGTGAACGCTACAGCGCCCCCTGGCCGAGAGAAACAGGCCTATTATGACATCATCAGCCGCGTTTCAGGCACCACGGTACTGCAAACACGACCCATGAATCACGTGAAACCCGATCGAGCGGTTGCAAACACCCTGAAATCTAGGCACACCGGTGTCCTCCAAATAAGGAACGCGCGGTCCGGACTTCGAAGCACGGACTGCCATTCTCTTTTTACGCGAACGCTCCCCCCACAGAAATCCATCTTCCGCTGGCTTCACAGACGGGTGTTGTTTTTGTGTGTGTGATACACTCGAACGAAGAGACATTTCTCGAACGTCCTTCGCTGACAAAGCGAAACACATCTCTCTGGCTTCGCTCGCTTCGATTCGCGGGAACGCGAAGGCGTAGTACGGGCAGGATGAGCGAGACAGGACCGAGGGCACTTTATCGGAGCCGTCACATTTCGTGGCGGACGTCTCTTCTATCGGCCGTTCCTTCGAGGAACCGGTTATTCGAGGAATGGGCGCGGAGGCAACTGCGACGACGCAATCATAAACTTCCATCGTGCGTTTTTTTTTTTTTTTATCTTGGCGCTTTAACGTTGAAGAGAGTGAATAAGGGGAGTCAGTAAATAATCTACGCGTTGACTAGACCGACACTCGGTCTTCCTAGTTTATTGTGGACTCCGGTATTTTTGGTGCTTAGTGCGGGGCGATGGGCGAACGATATATGATTTATTTATTTACGCGTTCAATTTACTACCTGCAGCGCCCTTTTTGGAGCATGGTCGTACGGTGTACAGATATACAAATATAGACGGAACACACATGGGACGTGTAAGAAATAAAAATACGTAAATACGGCTTTCTGAGCCTCGGACATACCGTGTCTGGAAATTCAGGCGGTATCGGTTTGCTTTGTCGCGGGACTGTTTTAGCGTTTCTGGTAGAGAAGAAGTCGCGTTCTCTAATATCAGATAAAACTCCATACAGACGGCAACGACGACTTTAAACACCAATATGGCTGGGGTGCCGTTACTGTAAGTTTATACAGAAACAAGAACGGGTTTACGCAGTTGCCAAACTTTCAACAAATTCACCAAACTTCAAAAATGTGCGCGAGTTGGCCAATGTTCTTTTTTTTTTTTTTTTACTTTCTCGTTGTCCTTTTTTTATTTTCTGGACATACCTGTCACCTGGAGCCACTAAGTAGGGTATACGTTTAGAGTTTCGACAATCCATTCATCGGTTTTGTACAGGCTCGGGCGATATTCTTTTCCTTTTTGTCTCGGACTGTTCTAACATTTCTGGAGGACGGAAAAGCGCTTCTTGCGATTTCAGATAAAGATTCAGATAGATGGCAACAAGAACTTTAAGCCAAGTGATGGCTGAAGTTTCTTCTGCCACCGTCAGTGGTATCGCGGATAATCAGGTACCTGTACTCACGTCTTTGTATGTTAGATCTGCTCTAAAGGGCTCAATATGGACGTAGCATTTTGTTTTTGTAGAAGGATCCAAACTAAAACCGCCCAAGAATGCGGCCTTAAGCAGAGCTGTGCCGTTTAAACGGGTGTCTTGGACATAAATGTGGGAATCGTAAGTCTGTTCTCTTACTAGAAAAAAAAAAAAGAAGCAAAACTTGTCTCGATCGTTCTAATAGACACGTGCGACATCGAATGTGTCGTCCTTTCCGTTATCCGTGCGTTACGACTTGCTATGCTTGCTAGCGGAATGCTTTGGGTGGTTTCGAATGCTCCGACCACACGACACTCTCGCGCACTCTATAGGGAGTATCCACTGGACGCCATATTTGTGGGTGCTGTCTAGAGCGCATGATCAGAGTGAGCTCACATCAATAGGCTAACACCGGCACTCTTGATGGTGCGGAATGCACGTTGCAAAAGAACTGGAAGCTCGCCATCAGCACGCGCTCAGCATTCGCGCACACAGCTATGGCCGCCAGTGAATACCCCCTATTGGAATAATCGAGACCAGAGCCGTGTATTGAGAGTTTGGTCAATGGGAGGCGCGGGCAGAGCCAGGGCGTACGGCACACTCGGAAAAAGGGCTTGGCATGCTTTCTTGACCGACCAGAAGCCGAAAAGAATCCCCTAGCGGTGGTAGCGACAAACAGTTCTGATCAAAGGTGTAGGTTCGCATATGGTTTTAA